TATGTTTCCTAAGCGGGTAGAATGTTATCCATGAGGCCAGAGTGTTGCCCAGGCGGGTAGAATGTTATCCATGAGGCCAGAATGTTTCCTAAACGGGTAGAATGTTATCCATGTGGCCAGTATGTTTCCTAAGCGGATAGAATGTTATCCATGAGGCTAGAATGTTGCCCAAGCGGGTAGAATGTTATCCATGTGGCCAGTATGTTTCCTAAGCGGGTAGAATGTTATCCATGAGGCCAGAATGTTGCCGAGGCGGGTAGAATGTTATCCATGAGGGCAGACTGTTGCCAAGGCGGGTAGAATGTTATCCATGAGGGCAGAATGTTGCCCAGGCGGGTATAATGTTATCCATGTGACCAGTATATTTTCTAAGGGGGTAGAATGTTATCCATGAGGCCAGAATTTTGCCCAGGCGGGTAGAATGTTATCCATGTGGCCAGTATTTTGCCGAGGCGGGTAGAATATTATCCATGAGGGCAGAATGTTGCCCAGGCGGGTAGAATGTTATCCGTGAGGGAAGAATGTTGCCCAGGCGGGTAGAATGTTATCCATGAGGCCAGAATATTTCCTAAGCGGGTAGAATGTTATCCATGAGGCCAGAATGTTGCCCAGGCGGGTAGAATGTTATCCATGTGGCCAGTATGTTGCCGAGGCGCGTAGAATGTTATCCATGAGGGCAGAATGTTGCCCAGGCGGGTAGAATGTTATCCATCAGGCCAGAATGTTTCCTAAGCGGGTAGAATGTTATCTATGTGGCCAGAACGTTGCCCATACGTACACCCGTGTGAGAAAATATATACTGACAATAACATTGACTAATATGTTATTGAACCAACTCATAAACAGCGACGTAACCATCAAATTCGTCCCCTACAACGACCACTTTACACGGTACATCATTCACAACCGTGACGCTGTGTGGGTAGATCAAGACGTCATCTTCGTTGTCAACGCGGCACACAGGTGTTCCGTCCTCTCGAAACATCTGAAGACGATGCTCACTACATATGAATATATTGTTGAACTTATCAACAGCAACGCCCTGTAGATTTGTAAACTGTCCCGACCCTCTACCAGTGGAACCTATGGAATATAGGAAACGTCCATGCGAATCAAACAAAAGCACGCGCTTGATGTCGACGTCAGCGATTAAAATGTTGCCGGATGTGTGAGTGATAGCAATATGGCGGGGATCTCGCATACTGTCTCGGGTACTAATTTTTCCTTCGATACATCGTATCATTTTACCACTTGGCTTGTAGACTTTCACACCTGGCGGTTCCTTATCAACTACATATAACCTCTTGTTGCCAGATGCAATAGACACAGGACCTTGCAGTTCTCCCTGTCCAAAGTGTGACTTGAATGTCCCATTCTTGTCTGATATAACTACTCGATTATTGCCGCCCCTGTCGGCGATAGCGATGTCTGTATTGTTAACTTTACATATCCCACCAGGTTTGAAAGTGCCTCTTTCCGGTAAACATATTGCCTTTTTGTAATTACCATCACTACCATACACCACCACACGACTATTAATCGGATCGGTTACGATGATATCGCCATTTTGATTGACTAACACGCCATTTGGTTTTCTTATGTAACCATGGGAACCCCTCTCGTGCCTTGTTTTCAATATCCTCTTGAACGTTGGCTTGACATTGCTCGGTAATAACCGCGGTATCTGACTGCTTGAAGTGTGCCCGCTACGGTGATCTGAGAAAGACATGACAGCCAGTGCTGGTGTCGTCGCAACTTGACCAATGTCTTTCTCTATAATGTGCTGTATTAGTACTTCATTTCGTAAAAACTGGAGACATCCAGTTTGTTCTGGTTCGATCTCGATGTCCATATTAATGAGTTCCCGCATACGGGCTTCGGCCTGTCGTTCCAAATAAAGGAATCCGACGTTGTTGTTGTGTCTGAGCAAGCTATCCGCATAGTCTGAGCACGTCTGTAGCAACGTCAGATGCAGCTCACAGCGCTCGTATTTTTGGGTTAGGATTTTTCTTCTGATATCAAACTTCATTTTGATATCTTTTAACATTTTTTCTTCTTGATTTGTGATCATATTTATCACTGATCTGCATATTGGTGTACGTCCATACCAAGATCGTTTCTCTCCGTCATGATTCGTTCAGCCACATCGTGTAATGTCTCCATCGTTCTCTTCATTTTAACGGATCTCCTGTCGACGTAACTTTTCAAATCACGCAGCCCAAGAGCTCTTTTTTCAACCGCTTCTTTTAGGTGGCTGTTTTTGTGCCCCTTGTGGCCGCCATCTTTAATTGGCTCCTGTAAGGCACATTCTAAACATATCGGTACCTTGCATGTTTCGCAGTAGAGTTTTAATTCGTTACCAGGGTGCATCGGACAGACAATTGGTCGTAGAAACGGCGACACTCCGCCAAATATTGTTTGGTATTCCTCCGATTGCAGCGTTACTATGCGATGTGCTTTGGAAACTGTCATATTCTTGTGAACAGCGCCACATGCGTCGCATAAGTAGTCCCCGCATGTGATGCAGTAACCCGATGCTATCGTTTTGCATCCCTGACAGTATTCAGTTTGGTCGGTGGCGGCGCATTTTGACGTTTTAGAATTCACGAACGCAGAAAGATCGTTGATGAATTTGTTATCTGGTAAAGATCGTACACCTCCTTTAGACAATTTCTGTTCACTTCTGCAGAGGGTGCACTCTATTTTATCGCTTTCTAGCTGTAAAGTAGAAAGTAAACACGATTCGCAAAACGTATGAAAACAGGATAAAATCTTTGGATCTTCAAAACGTTTTCGGCAAATCGGGCATTGCAAAAACTGGTCGTCTAGTTCACGATGGACCTGTACGGAGGCCATCTTAGTTTGTCTGCAATACGAAATGGTATAACCTGAAATTAAACACAGTAAAGTTATCCTATATCCTTGAAGGGTGAAACGTGAGGAAGCAAAACAATTTATAATATCAAACATTTCCTGTGGGAAAAGTGCCTGAAAAGTGGAGAACCGCACGACTTTCAAATCACAGCGTATTGACGTTTAGTCGGCCGTCAATAAAAGAATAATGCCGTTCAGAGATTTAATTGCACTCAGTGATTGGGTGTGATGACTTGTCTGAGAAACGCCATAAACTCCTGTTTTCCCAGCTGCTAGGTCAAGTTTGTTTTAAGAGAATGTTTTTAATCGGTCGCCGAAAGCATAGGGGCTGTAGCATCTGACTCATGATCGGTAAACTCAAGCTCAAATCGTACCTGGAATGGACTTTTCTACCCTGGATGAATGTCAGGAGAGACGTAAGGGTGACAACAATATTTAAATAAAAAAAAGAACAATTTAATTCAACATTCAAGCGTTTCTATGGCGGATACTATGAACTGCAGTGGTGACAAAATACGACAAATCACCCAGGCAGATTATCTCTGATTCTTTATCATTCTTTGTCCTATGTAGAAGATCTTTTTATGAATTAGATATGGCGAGTGCTGCATGCGAGGCAGGATATGCTCACTCATTCGAAAACAACAGATATCAATTCTTGACATTAACCTTGAAGTCCATATATAACTCTTTCGTACATTACCTGTTGTGAATGTTCTGAGACTGATCATTTCATCTCGTGTAGCACAGTAATTTATGTACTACTGTACTGACCTATGTATGTGTGTACATGTGTTTGTCCCATGTATAATGGAATTGTTATATGCCCACTGTATTTTGTTGAAATACCCGTGCGACTATTGATTTTAGATTAATGGAAGGGTATGCCAGTGCTTCTTATTTTTTTTTTCATTTACGCCATTTGCGTGTCACAGAATGACTTACAGGACGTTTAATGCGAAAGATGCGGTGGGCGTTTTACCCGAATTTTGCCCTGGACCGAGTGACCAGGTTAGTCTACCTATCTACATAAAACGATCTCTTACTGCTAAATACCGATGAACATGATAACTGTTTACAACGTTTATTTCAAAACTATCTGTGGTTACTTCGAATATTCTACTCTATCTGACAGCTGTGCGCAGGACTGTACGAGTCACGGAGATGTGTCACCTACTCTTTGTCTAGCCTTAATATTTCAACATATGTACGCTTACATTGTATTAAATGAAATGTACATCTTAAATGTATGGATAATTCACTGTCATTGTCAAGCCTGACTCTTAATAAAGTTCACTGTCATTTTTTCAACCCTGGCTTCCATTACAGTTATGTTCAATGCCAACGGTAGAGTAGTACACTCGCATTATGAACGGCCATTCAACCAGATTAAACTCAATTGGGGAATGCTAACTGGATTTAATTAAAGTATGTTTACTTATGATATGTAGCTTTTTGTTAATATTAAACACACATGCTATTTTCACAGCTGAATAGAAGTTCGTTTCATATCATGAGGTAATAAGGTCGAGTTACTCGTACACTGCTATGTGCTCAATCACAAAAAATACGAATTCATATTACAATTGTAATATTCGAATATTAATATAAATAAAACTCACCATATAGATCCAATACATATAGCATTGGAAGAATTTTTTAAACCTGGGTGAATTCAACAGTCGGTTGGGCGACATCCATATCGCAATCAGGTAATTATAGGGGTGATAGAACGGCGCGGGGATAATTATAAAACCTTTATCTCACATTTACTTACTCACACTCATTAGGCTGTAACAGGTGTGTTTAACTGAACTGTTTATTGGTCGATATAACTTAACCATTAAGCAACTCTTGACGCTTTAATGAGCTACAGTTGAAGTGAAAGTACAGAAAACCGCTCACTTTGCATTGACTAGTAAACGTACAAACTTCATGTGCAAACTAATTCAGAAACAATGAAAGACGAGCTGGCCACCAAGGTCTCATTGTTGATGTTCTGTATCCGTATCAACTGTTTAAAAAATAACTTCTGAACGATCAAACCTCGTAACAGTTAACTTTTTCTCTGTTTCTACAGCTGTGTATCGTTGTCACGTTTTTAGTATAAATTGGTTGGGTGCTTCGCTCAAAGATGTATTCTTATGTAACATACCAGCATGCGAATTGTGAACGTGTTAATTGTCGACTGAACTCAATAGAAACCACCGTACTAGGTGGTGACTACCGACCCGCAACACCATTTTAATATCACAAAGTATGAGTACAAGGCTGAATGATATCAATATATATTTTTTTGCGACGGTGACCATGTCATAATTTCAACGATATTCGATTCCTGTCAGCAGTGATAATAAAACACACTCGATTGATTTTAGATCTCCACCAATAATCCATCTGTCGTCGCCACTACGAATAACGGAAATAGTGAGTACCAGTGACCGTCCACCTGACTATTCTGACTAAAAGATGGAACACACACAGAGATACAAAAGGAAGAAACCAATTATGTGGAAGATATTCTATCCACAACTTGGGTTTTCTACATCTTAATGGGGGCGTTAGTTTTTGTCAGTATGGAAGACGGATAGGAGCACACGTTCACGAAATCGATCTAAGCGAACACCGTGACTGAAATACGAGAGGGCGATGTGACGAGAATTGAAGAAATAATGCAATTAGCACCAATAAACATTACACGGAATGAAATAAGGAATCTATTGCTGAAACACGATATGAAGATTGTTGAATTATTATCGAGTCAAGTTCATGACGGCTGGAGTTATCGTGCCGCCGTTGAACTATGCTTGTCAATAGTCACTACAATCGGTAAGTGTACGTACATGCGCTGAAATGGGTAATACCCCCCATAGTTCTTCTCTTCCCGCCGTTGCATGCTTTTTTCAAAACATTTTTTTTTCTTCAAATTTTGCATTTGGTGTTATAGCGATTTGTAATGCTTTAAATTTGAATCTAAGCTATGGTTTTTTTATGTTTTTGATTTTTACCCACCAGAAAGAGCGAGTTTTCAAACACGTGTTGTGGTTTATCAAACATTATTTTCAGCTACAGGCGCTAAATTTACAGAGCAAAGACCAAAAAAAGTACATGTATATTCATTTTGAGCATACGTGGCCTTAATCAGGAAGGTCGTTCTTCTACGACATTATATCGGGAAGAACACCTAGGAAAACACGAGAAATGTTACAGATAGAGGTAATTTATTCTTGAAAAAAGTTGAAGAAAGATTGCCCCGATACATCCCCCAAAATACCCTTTTAGGGTTTATAGTGCTCTGAGGAAATAAAATAAAGGGGTTGTCAACGACAATTGCATTTGAATTGATCCCCTTGTTATGTATAATCGCCTAGCTTGTTAAGATATGGCGCGGTATGCTGGAACAATGTCCCCCGGAAATTAATGCTTAACTAAATATATATAAAAATGAAATTAAAAAACTTTAATTTACTTATGTATAGTGGCATTATACCGGACGCGGCTGACGTGTTAATAGTTCGTAATATTGGTGATGGGTTATCACGTGGTCACCGATGACGTCATTTGTATTGTTTATTGCAGGATATGGTGAAGTGACACCTCTAAGTCAAGGAGGAAGATTATTCTGTTGCTTTTATGCGGTTTTTGGAATTCCTTTCTTTCTGGTTTTATTATCACACTATGGTAATATAGTCGCTAACACAATTCGACGAATTTCACGCATAGTCTCAAAGTGTGCTAAAAAATATCAGGATAAGCAATTGTTAGTCCAGAATGTGCCGGCTGAAGAAACTTCAATCACGTGGATGCACAACTGGACTCTTCGTAGTAATTCAACTGTAGATGTCGCTGTTCAAGTATCGGATCCATCAGTTAGCAGAATTAAAGAAAAATAAATTACTGGAGGCAAATCGACGAGAAATGAACCTGAGATGTCTAACATGCATACGTGTCACGGTCAAAGTTCAGAAGAGAACAACGTCACCGGAAGCTCCGAAAACTCGCTTCGAAATCCTGAACCGGATCAGAATCGGTGTCAAGAAAAATTCACTCAAACGATAAACGAAACAAATTCCAATGACGAGATATTCTTTATAATGATGGGGTTACTCGTAGTGTACGTGGTCTTGTGGGCCGCACTTCTGGTTGAGCTGGCTCCAACATGGAGCTATGTCGATGCTTTTTATTTTTGTACTGTCT